CAAATGTTGCTATTCGATTTCAATATGTCGCATAAAAAACATTAACTCTTCTTATAATTGTTTTTAATATATATGTTGTTTTTTTTGTCTCATATCTCTAATAAAAAACTCGCTTTCGTTCAATGTCATATAAGAATATATACGATAAGCTTATTTTTCGATAAGTATAAATACAATATTGTGGATGGTATTTTATCTTCTTATTGTTATTAAAGTTAGTATTCAAAAATTATCTCCATCTCTTGCCATTTATTAATATGATTTGACAAAATTCTATCTTGATTTTGTTTTTTTCTCTCTCATGATGTTCATCTAAAGTGTATTATCTTTTAAAAACGTTCGATAAATTCAAAGTATTTCACGGCAGCAATAACGAAAAAGAAAGATATTCAATTACTTCACTGTGTGGGTGCAGGTGTAGGCATTGACTTTATCACATCCACACCCATACCCTCTTATTCATTTATCTTATTTCTTCTCTCTTTCCTTTCTCTCAATAAATCATAAAATCACAAAAATAAATCTAATTAAAAAACAACTTATTTCTATTCAAATGTTTTTCACAATGTGAGAAATATTTTAATTTGATTCATTCAACAAAAATTCTCTCCTAATGATTTTATTTATTTTGGTTTTTTAATTTTAAATTAAAAATAAAAATCGAAGTTTTATCAAATTAAATTAAAACCATTTTTAATTTTAAATTTTTTGGTATTTTTGGATTCGATGATTCCATTGATCAGAAACATAAAGATTTTCTTCATTATCAAATGATAATCCATAGGGATTATACAATTGATTTGGTTCGTCTCCTTCACCATTTCCACCAGTAACAATTTCACCTTCTTCATCTCCTTCACACCAACGCATTACTCGACTATTCCAACAATCTACCACATAGATTTGACCCAAATTATCAACAATTACTCCTCGAGGACTAGATAATTGTTTGAGACTATTTCCTTTCCCATTTCCCCCAGCAACAATAATTCCTTCTTTTGCATCTTTTTTTCCATTTCATTACACGATGATTCTCTTTATCTGATATATAAAGAGAATAATTTTCATCAATAAAGATATTCTCAGGATAATTGAGTTGATCAAGACGATCTCCTTTCCCATTTCCACCTGCAACTAATTCACCTTTTGTATCACCTTGTTTCCATCGTCTTACTTCATGATTCTCCTGATCAGAAACATAAATAAATCCATTTTTATCGATTGTCAGACCAAAACAATTAATATTTGAAATGATAATTTGTGGATTGGGTGTGAGGGTGTGGGTGTGGGTGTGGGTGTGAGGGTGTGGGTGT